ATGAATCGACAATCCCCGAATAACAATCATGAAGTGCGTTGGCGCTAACTCCTAAGATGGAAAAATGCGTTGAAACATGATTACAAAAACCACAATGTTTGTAATTTTCAATTAACAAAATTCTCATTTATTAACTTTGTCTTTACCGACAGAAGAAGTCTTTCATGTAAACGGCCAAAATCGGCAAGTGGCAAATCTTCCAGTCGTCGATTTTCATTCTCAGCCGGGAGAAATGCTAACACCAAAGCCACTGAATACCTTCCGGTTTTTCTCCTAGTATTTTGGTTTTCTCCCTCTTCTAGGAATGTTTGAACCTCACTGTCTGTCAGCGATACAGATTTTTTAGTGTTTTAGCCGCCATAATTCGAGAAAGCTCTGACAAACAACTTGCACAGAGAATCTTGAAGGCTTTGCCATTCATTCATCAACCTGACTGAGTGGCGCCAAAGGCAAGTGACGTGTCAGCAGCTGATTGGCTATATCAACACACGCGAAAAAATACAATATTTTTTCACGTGTGTTACGGCTTTTCTTAGGGCCGGAAATCCCTGTAGCACTGCAGTTTATATGATAGAACTTTGTTTATTTATCTCGTTGTAGTGCTGTTGTCACATTGACATTGCTACTGTTGTTACTTTTAGTTTCTTGAGTGCAGGGGGGAATTGATGGCTCGTGGGATGTTTTTTCGGAAACTTAGGTTAGAATTATACATGGCCCCTTCGAGCTTGTGTTTATGCCTGAGGTTTCGCACCTTTCACGCAGCAGGATATCTTTCATTTCAGGAAAGGGCTTGACTTTATCACAAATTATGTATTTCTGATAACAAAATACGATGGAAACTACAACTGGTAGGATTTTCATTCAATAAGAAAAGCGCAAATGTAGTCATGTGCAAAGACAAGGAGTATTAGTACATCTCAAGCGCTTGAAATAAACAACATTATAATAAAGTTCGGATATAACGCGCACTGTCATTGGTTGAAAGAGTGTGCTGTATGAGAGTACAGGACATAGAGCTGAACCAGACGTTAACATTATAACATACTTTACAAGTGAAGAATACATTGTCGAGTTTAAATTAAGGAAATTCCGCTAAATTTTGTATGGCTGTTTCCTTCACACTAGTCGATCTTAAGTTTCTTGTTCAGCAGAGTTTTAGCTTATCACTGTAGCTGCTAAGACCTACACTTGCAAAGGTAAATGAAACTTATGAAAAGTATCGCCTCTATAATGCCCTTCTCATAGTGCTACTGGTTAGAAAGATCCCCAAGATGAAATTTCTATTTTCTTGTACCTCTAGCCGGTAGGATCTTAGGAGGCGTAAATAATACTACCAGCTAGAGGTACAGCTTGCATATTTGGTCAACTTTGCTCAGCTATTACTACGGTTTACTTTTTCTGCACTCCAAATTAGTCTAACAGTCCTTTGAATCACTTTTTTCAAGAATACGTATATATTCATTTATTTTTATTTGGTCTTGTACCTCTAGCTATGGCTAGAGGTACAGCTTGCATACTTAGTGGACTTTGCCCAATTTTTATTATGGTTTGCTCCATATTTTACTTTTCTGCACTCCAAAATGTTGTCTTACATTCTTTGGAATCACTTTTTACAAGAGTACGTTTATACTTATATTTTTTATTTGGTCTTGTACCTCTAGCTGGTAAGATTTTGAGAGGCTTAATAAAGACTACCAGCTAGAGGTACAGCTTGCATATTTAATTGACTTTGCTCAATTTTTATTACAGTTTGCTTTGAATTTTGCCTTTTGGCATTCCATTTTGGTCTAACACTACGTTAGAATCACTTTTTTAATGAATATCTTCGTTTCTTGGTCGTGTACCTCTAGCTGGTAGGATCTTAGGTGGCGTAGAAAATACTACAGGCTAGAGGTACTTCATGCATTTATGGTGAATTTAACTCATTTCATTTACTTCTTGATTTATAGAAAAACCTTTCAACATTCCATGTTAGGCTTTTTCTGTTGTGGAGTCACTCTATAGGTATATTTTCATGCTTTGCAGTCCTGTTCATCTGGCTAGTAGTATGTTAGATTACTCAGAAAACACTACCAGCCAGAGGGGCAGCTTATGTATGTGACGTAAGCTTGAAATCATTAACATTGTTATGTTTTAAATGTATTTCAAGTAAATAAGTTTTAAACCAGCATGGTTTGTATTTTCTTTGTTCGTGGATTTATTTCAAAACAAACATAACCAGTTTTAGCTGAATTTGAATCGAAATTCATTTTAGACTTCAGTGGACTTGCCAACCAGATCTACTGCAGTTCGTCATGTAAAACTCTGCCTAAGTATGAAAGGAATTTCTTAGAAAGGAACAGTTTCTATTTTCATGATATTTGTGTTTGATTGGAAGTATTGTTGACAAGGCCAACCATTGCCTGAAATACTAAAATCAAGTCATCTTTAGGTAGTCATAGGATAACATGATTTTAATTCACCAAGTTGAAATTTTCCCTTTGTATTTTCAATGATATTTAACAGCTAGTATGCAAGTTATTCTTGAAAATATAGAGAGGTCATCAACATCTACAGAAATTATACAATTAAATAA